CCCCCCCCCCCAACAAATGGAGTATTTAAAGGCAAACATGTCGACTCGGAGCTCAGAAACAGCGGGAGGCGGCGATAAGCGGCTCATCAGGCACACGCTGAGGACAGCCACCGACAGCGCCTCAGGCCCCGGGCCTCCCGCCGCCGCTTACCACTAACTGCCGTATTTAGCCCCAGACGGCTCCCAAGCGCACTGTCACCTCCCGTAATTGGAGGTAATCACGCTGCCCTCACCTGCTTCGGCACAGGTGCTGAGGTGCAGCAGCACGGCACCCCCCCAGGGGTGGCCAGGCCGGGACTCCCGCGTTGGACACTGTTTCTCAGCCTCCCCTCCCCATTGAACCCTATTCCCGCACCGACCCCAACTCCACACCAGGGACCCAGCTGGGCTGCGACCAAACTCACGTCTCTTCCTGTGCTCCACCACTTCCATGGCCTGCTTGGTGGAGCAGCGGGCGAACCAGTTATCCCCTAGCAGGACCATGATCTCGTTGGTGTGGACCAGCTTCCCGGGCATGAAGGCCAGAGGGCCGAAGGGAACCTGTCACAGGTACGAGAGGGGGGAGGGGGTTAGTGTTACTTTAACGTTAAGACATCCGAGGTGGAGGACCAGACCTCTGGAGGGGCTTATCTCACTTGTAGTCGGGGGTAGAGGTCAGGTGGGGGTCGCTAATAATGGAGTCACGGCCACGGTCGAGATTTCACACCAGTAATGTGGCTCCCAATTACCGACGCCCATCTCGTGGAAGGCGGAGGGGGCCCCATTACCACGGTAACTCAAATGAAGTAGATAATTGGGTTTCGGCCTTGTGCTGGGGCCCCGGAGCGGGACGTACCGTGACGTCATAGGAGAGCCTGTCGGGCAGAGTCTGCAGCCGCGCCTGGAGGGACTCATAGTCTGCCGTCAACTTTTTCCTGCGAGTCATGGCACGAGAGAGAGAGAGAGAGAGTCAGGGGGTCAAATCTCCAAACAGAAGCCATCAACTAACCACCCTGACAAGGTCTTTGCCCCTTTAAGGGTTTCAAACACAAAAACTAACGACTGCCAATTTCACTACGATGCCAATGGCGCCTGCCGTTTCAACAGGAAATGGAAGAGACTTAAAAAGCAAAAACATCCTTTGTCTTTGAGCGGTTCAAAATGAAGATCAAAATGAATTTATGCCTAACAATAATAACAAGGCTACTCTGTTCAAAAATAATTCACCAAAAACCCTATTAAATAAATGGTCTTTTTGATCAGATAATACACTGTCACTGTTTATGATGAAAGACTTCCGTATAAAAGGTGTGGAATTTTAAATATGAAAAGAATCAATAGCAGGAACAATACGACGAAGCCAAACTCTCCATCACATCTGCCAGCTGTGCTGTTTTTCAAACTTGGCATTTTTATTTGCTTATTTATTTATATTTTAGTCATTTATACATGCAGCTTTGGTTCTAGGTGTGCACTATGAATTCCTGCAAGACACCCAAGTCTACACTGCGAGACGGTCATTCAGATCTTCATGGACACCAGCAAATAAACTTAAGAGCCCCAACTTCGACGTTAATAGCACAAATGTACCTACAGTGAATTAATGTGACATTAAAAGAAGTCAACTTCCTGACACACAGGACAATGCCTGGAGTACAATCTCTCTACCGAAAGCGAGTTAGGACAGGAGCAGAGGATTCACCCCTGTCCATTTCTGGCACATCACTGTTAGGCAGGAGGTCCGAACATGATCCATTTCTGAGGGAGAACGGCAGCCAAGTTCCACAAGGATTTTCAGCAATCCACGTTGTTTAAAAGACCACAAGCACTTACGTTTTTCAAAGCTCTCAAGTTCAATTTAATTCCCCCCCCCCCCCCCCCATACATTGCAATACGCAGGAAGTGGATTGTTCAAAATCACATTAGGGGAAGACAGGGTAGGTTGGTGGATGGGGGGGCGGGGGTATTTTGAGATTAAAGGAAGCAGGATAAAAGTGGGTGGAAACACGAGGATCTCCTTGCGGTTCATGAGGAGGGAACAGGTGAAGGACTCCGCTGTGAACGCTCTGGATCACAGGTGAAGAACCCCGCTGTGAACGTTCGGGATGACACTCACCAGTGCTGGATCTGCCCTTCACAGCCGCCGACGACCTGCCATCGAGAGCCATAAGGAGAGCGGTTATTCAGCCATCGCTCCAAGGGAGCATGCGGTCTCTCTCACTCACACACACACACACACACACACACACACAGCAAGTTATACAGCACCACCCCCAACAAAACACTTAGCAGCTTTACAGCACCTATTTCAAGCAAGGTGTCTGGGAAAGTGGGAGACGCGTGAAGGCGTTTCTAACTGAAGGCCCTGTTCTAATATCACACACAACTGGGGGATTTGACAAGTTTCTAACACACTTCACAACCCACAAATTCATATTATACAGATGCATTTGCCTGTACAGCAAAAAAAAAAAAAGGAACACACTGCATAACCAGGACAAATCTGCCCATCCTGCATGTACATCCAGTGCTGTAGGTGCAGGCCATGAGACAGAGTCACCACCCGTGCTATAAACTGTTCCAGTGGCTGTGTTCAGGTAGGCACCTCCGGACTGCTTCTACCCCGAGGCCATTAGGATCATTAACACGACCAATTAAAAACTAAAATAATTGTGGCCTGCACGTTAAATTTTCACATTTTCCTTTTACTTAGCTTTGTCATACATACAGACACATAGCATTAAGACTTTTGTTAATTTGTTATTTAATTTGGATATCTTTCTACTTTGTTCATTGCACGAGTCTATTGTCCTTGTACTGCTATTACGGAGTAATAGCAATTTCATTCGGCTCTTGGTGTACTACCACATTCATGACAACCTTGAACAACCATCGCAAATAAATAAACAATTAAATTAATAAATAAAATTCAGCAGGAGATCTTAGGAGGGTCATGATACGAAGCATACCTTTACCCAGAAGCAAACCCTCCTCAGGGCCTGGTCACCGGTACTGTGGACCCCATTGCCGCAGGTCCCATATAGCAGCATCCAGAGGGGGATGATCTGTTCCCAGGTTCTGAGATGCTGCAGGGGATTTCAGCAGCTGGGTCGTACCAGCCAGACTCAGGCCCAGAAAGTGAGGTAAGGGTGGTCCACTTATAGGACAGAATTGATGGAGTTTTATTGGGTGCTACCCAGCCAAGCTCAGATCACAGACCTCTGTTTCTGCCAGTTCAGATATTTTTACAATAAGACAGAAAAATCGACCGAAAGCTCCAAAGCAGCGCTGGCCTGATGGATGGGGAAGGAGGACACTGATCGCCGGACCAGGACGGACCCAAAGGGCTCCAGGTCACCAGGGTCACAGCCGGGTGCTGCTGCGGTAATCACAAGTCCTCCCCCCCACCAGGAGCGAGACGGGCTCCTTGTCTCAATCGCCGGCCGTGGCGGCACACAGGAGCCATAGCAACAGACGCCAAACGACAGGACACAATGGAGATGTTTTTTTGCGAGACGGCGACCGCACTCAGCTGGAGTCCATCAGCCGTGGGGGTCAGGACCGACACGGCCTTATTTTCAGAGCTATGGCAGAAAGTCACACAGAACTTCTACATGGCGACAGTACAAGGTCACCGCGTGCGAGAGCAGCCATGAACACATACATGTACACAAGTGGAATATTGATACCAGTACAAGACTAACTTCTAGGGCTCAGGACCGCTTGATCGGGCCATTAATACGTGTTATTTAAAAGCATTATATCGACCCGGCAGTTGACGAGTGCTGAGGTTTATCTTCTGTCCTCTGAGATCTGAGGGACAATGCCCCCCCCCGCTTCAGCTCAATGCTGTCCCCCTGCCATGTCCTACTTGTCTGCCGATGTACAAAGCTAGCACATTCCACAAATGGCCCCGAACGTTACAGCGGCAGTAAATACCAAACCCACACCCTGCCAGCATCCCCCCTCCCCCCAACACCCACCCCCCACACACCAGAACTGCATTCCATATTTCAGCCTTTGGATGCACAATAGGTCAGAGTGTATCGAACAGGCACCCTTCCAGCAGACATCCCTGCCTGGACGTGGGATCGATAGCAGTCAGGAATTCTGCCTCAGACACTTCTCTACATATTTACAGAGACTGGGCCGGTGGCGCTGGTTCACACCAGGGGCCTGTGCAACCGGACACCGGACCTCCAAACGACCCCAGGCAAATAGGGAAAAAAATAAATAAATAAAACACACCACACAAGCAATCTTGGCACTCTAAAGAGGGTAGACAGAGGTACGATCGACTTGGCTCAAGTCCAGACGGGGCAGCAAGCCACTGGTTCGACTTAAGGGGGGGGGCAGCTTCGGCCAGACACTTAACCTTCGACCCCCACGTGAAAGGAAGCTGCGCCGAACGCCCGTGACGAGCTGTGAGGTGAACTAACAAACACCCAAACGAACGTGGGCAAAACCAAGCAGAGCAGGGGGGGGCAGAACCCCGCAAGGCGGGAAGTCACCCAGTGACGTGCTGCGACGGCCTAGGGCGTACACCCTCGTTTCACGACGCAGCACACGACAATCGCCTGACCGTAACGAGACTCCCCAATTTCACGGGATACAGGGGGATTACAAACTGAAGGAGCGCCGTGTGTTTTTCTCCCCTCCCCCCCCGTTCGAATGTCTAAATTGGGATTTTCCGTTTCCACAATGACATGGTGCAGTCTTTAGCCAAATCAATGGGCTCTATTTATACGCGCTGTAATCCTTTACCCAGCACACGGCTGACAGTTAAGTGGCTTCAAATGACGCTGAGGCAGAGTACGGGTTGTCTCCCCCCCATAAATAGACGCCGATGGCACGTTCCAAAACAAACACTAAGGTTATCATTAATGATACCTTCACTATCGACAACATATTGGCTGATGGCGCGATTTCACAAAGTCACTATTATAATGATTAATTCTGGGGTGGAGGGGGGGATTCCAGAAACCACAAGCACCAAGGCCCCTCCCAGGGCTGAAACGGACAACCTTCTGGCATCTTCTGCACCCATGTGCCGGACAAATCTGAGATCGACATCTATAACTCCTTCCCAGGAGACACGGGCTGGACCCGAAGGGCCGCTCTGGGGAAATACCCCCCACCCCCAGCAGAAGCCAACCCGCCTGGGCCCGTTTCCTATAAAACTTGAGAAGAGTGTCAGCACTTCCCTGGAGCGCGCAACCAGCCCGGCCACCCGCAGCACCAAGCCAAAGCCGCTAGGTCCCCCCGCCCCCAACCCCTTCTTTAAAAACTTATTTATAATTCCGGCAGGCGCCTTTCTCGGGGAGTGTGATAAGCCCAGCCTCGCCGTGCCTTGCCTGCATTCTCGCCCCCGTAGTGGCGCCCTCCAATCAATGTGGGGAAAGCGATCTGTCAGGGAATCTCTGGCTTAAAGAGCCAGACCTGAAATGGGGGATGAGGCGCGTCATGGGGGGCAAGGTGCCGGGACTTAGAGCGAACGGAGCGCCTTCACGAGTTCCTCGCGTCAATAAGGATTACGGGGGGGGGGGGAGCTTTTATCTGTGGTGCCACACGCAGGTGTGCATCTGCACAAGTCAGGCACCTTTTAAGAAAGATTCTGCTGCATTTATGCGAGCAACCTGTATTCATTTAAACTCATCCAAATCCTAAATCTGCTCGGATTCCTCAACCATATGTTCAATATGAGATTTAATCTTTACCAACAGAAGGCAATTTTTGTTGAACGCATCACAAGGGGGGGAAAAAAAAAAAGTTTGTTGCTTCCCCTAAGGAGAAAAAAAAAAAGTGCTTCCCGGTTCTCTAAACCACTGCATTCTTCAAAACAAAAAACCCTGCCGACAACGTACCCTCTGGAACTTTCACGTCTTTAGATCACGGCACGACGGAACTGTATCTAACAGCAACCTTTCCCTCTCCTACACTCCCAGAAGCATCAAATCAGCTCTGGCGGTTGTCAGAGGGGAAGCAGGAGATCGTTTCTATGCGATATCCTGCAAATACCAGATTGCCATCAGATTAAAAACAAAAACGCAGAGAGATCCACAGATTAGTATAACCATCAAAATACATTTCAGATTTCAGTTACAATGCCCTCTTGCGTAGAAAGCCCAGACACAACCTCGCATTGTTCCTAAATGCCATTTTGCAAACGGGGACGGCGGATTTAATGAATGTGCGGCTAGCTGTCAGCGTCGAGTGGCGCGCATTAAAATCAATGATTAATAAATTCAAAACACACAACAAACTCAGAGGGGAGATGGGGGGGGGACCCGCAGAGCTCCCTGGGAAGCGGTCTCAGTGCAGGTCCTCGCGCCAAAGAGGCGGCCACTCAGATGCCTAATGGAAAGTAGCCGACGCCAGCTGTGTGCCTGTGAATAAAATCACTTTAATTAAAGGAATTACAATGGAAAGACGTGGGGGTGCACGGGGAATGGGGTGTGAGAGGGCGGGGGGGGGGGGCACAGCAGATAGGACTGGCAGGAAACGGCCCTTGTGTTTGACATGTACGCACTCAGAAAACAAAGCCTTGGAGGAACACAGCAGTTAGCCTCCCTCCACATGGCCCTCTGCCCGCAGAAAGGCCACATGTCGTAGCCTTAATAACAGCCTTATCGCTGGAGGCGGCCCAACGGCACCAATAACCAGGCCCCAGGATGCTCCATACAGAACAGGAGAGCATCTGAGGAAATCCATATGCGTATTTGGGTGTGCATCACAACCTACATCTAAAAATACATTCACCAAGCAATTATACTGAGCAATATTCATGTAAATTAGGAAAGAGGGCCTGCTTTACAAATAATTCACAGACTATTCAAAAGATGTGTTGTGATTCTCCCTTCTGGTGGTAAGACCCTACCATTTGTTCCATTAGTGATGGTAGAGGTAGAGATATATATATATATATACACACACACACACAGAACATTCATAAACTTCAACTATTTAATTTATATTTGGCTTAAAAAAATATGGCATTCATTTTTTTGAAAATCAATTATGAACAATTGAACAGTTTATTAATTAAACATGCAAAAATAATGTGCATTAAGTCTCCGGAAAGTAGATCACCCGAAGCTAAACCTGAAACAATGACCTGTCAGCACATCCCTCAACCACAAGAGGGCAGTATGCGCACACATACGAACACACCAAAAGCTAACGTCTTGCGCTACCTCTACTTTCGTTTTCCAGCTGAGGGTTCGGGAGGCTGTTTAGCCAGTCCTGGTATCTGCCCTTCACCCTCCATCTCCTGACCCCCCCCCCCCCCCCCCAAAACACCCCCCCTTAAAAACAAAAAACCCCCCCCCCCCCCCCCGCCCCCCCCCCCCAGTCCAAAACATGCCACTCTTAAAATCGAGATCCACCGCCTGCCCAGCAGGCTGTTAATGGAGCTGTCCCAGGCTACTGGCCAGGACGGCCGGCTGCTCTTTTTGGCCCAGCATGCGCTCCATCCCCCGACCAGCTGACACACATGCTCAGGCCACTTAGACAACGGTCTTCTCCACCTCCTCTAGCAGGAAGGAGGCCTGGAGGCAGACCAAGTAAGAGCAGAACTTCTGTGCATTTGGAAGGAAGAAAAAAAAAAAAAAACACACCCTACAGTAACACTAAGTTTCTACCCGTTTAACTAAAATAAAACAAATCTGAACACTTCCGGCTCCTTCAGAAAGTCCTAGTTTGTCATACCATGACGTGGAATTAATGCTTAAACCACCACCAAAGGAGCTTCTCCAATCATTAAATCCCGAAGACCACTGTCAGATGACAGGCTGCAGCGGCCACACTGCCATCTGTCAATCAAAGCTGTATTACGCAGCATACCCAGTTCAAAGCTACAGGAACCCAGCGAGCCCAAAAAGCAGCTCAAAATAGCTACAGCAAAGTGACCCTACCAATCGGGGGGGGGGGGCGTGGACAACCGCCTCTCTGCTGGGCACTGCTTTCGTGGGAGCTTCCCAGATGGGACGACAGGAGGACAAACACACCAAACAAACTTCAAGGGTAAATGACCTATTGGGGTTTTCAAAGTTGCCTCCTACCCATTCACCAAGTTCTACTTCGACATTTTAGTGTTCTTATGACAATGTGATTACAGAACTGTCCCAATGCAATTGAAGAATTAGTATTAAAAATAAAAATAAAAAAACAACCTGTCAGGGAACAACCTCATAAGGCCTCATGATACAAGACATTTTACAAGAAACCCGTTTCCAAACAACAGTGAAGATGTACCAAAATGGCTTGACAAGATGACGCTGGCATGGGTCGGGGAACAACTTGTTTACTGCTGTTTTTCTGGTTATTAGCAATCACGGATGAGAAGATGCAAGACAAGCTGGACGGCGGGAACAGCTGTGACACCACACTGCGTCGCATCAAAAAGACAGCGATCCAGAGCCTGGTCGACCCCCCATCCCAAAACCGGCTCCCAAGGCTTGGCAACACGTGGCAGCCTGGAGGACTCACGTACACGGATGTGTCACATCCAGAATCTGCAGCCCAGATGGTGGACGGCGGACAGACTTTCTGGGGAAGCCAAGCGATTGGCTGGATAACCACATGACCTCATCCAGGAAGCTGGATCGAGAGACACAGTGGCCCATCTCACAAAACAGCGGTGACAACTGCAGAAAGCCACAGAACTCTGTGGAAGGATTCTACAACACCTCTGGGTTTTAACAACAGATCTTCTGCTAGAAGCTGACACTGGGGACTCGCGCCACAACTGCAGACATTTTCTTCAAATGGTGTTGAAAGAAGAGGAGAACATTGAAGCAGGTAGAGTGATTCCAGCAGCAAGGGGCGTCTCCAAAGAACCCCACACATCTTTGGTGCAAACCATACAGATTGACCAATCGATGCCATACTGACCTGAATGGATGGAGCCCTGGAGTTGAATCCATTGTCAAGTTTGACAAACAACTGAATTTCCTTCCTGTGTTACTGGAAGGAACAGCAAGCGATTTCCAGTTGCAAAAAGAGAGACTGGTGAATCCTTCAGGGCACATAACAGGGGGAAAGGAGGACATGGAGAACCACACACCAGACTGCGTTAACTTAGGAACAATTTTAAAGGAAAGTAAGCATTGATGCTGCAAATATTTTTGGCCTCCTATACAACAAATAAATTCAAGCTACTTAAAAAGAAAAAAAAAAACCTCAGGGCTGCATATTCAGAACCAAGCCTCTTAGCAGACACTTCTCCAAAATCTATTTCAGTATGTTACAATTTACTAAATTTACCCTTAATCTTTCAGCACACACATATCAGCACTGAGAACTAACGGTTAACTGGTTTTAAAACAAGCTTCCCACAGGTGAAGAACCAAGGGGAAATTATGGATTTCAGTCGAATACAATTCCTTTGTCTTAAATGCTGAAGAAACAGCTTAGTAGTTTGTTACCCTGAATACCAAGAACTTCATTTGGAATGGTATTGGAACCAGATTATGTTTAACATAAGACAATGTGACAACACATATAGGTCTTGATATGAGAATATCCAGATAAATTTTGTACAAACTCATTTTAAAAGGGGGGCATGAAAATACATAAAATATACATATAGATTTTTTGCTGGTTATGTGTAAATAAACTTCTATTTTGAATATATTTATGTCACGAATTTCATTGTGGTCTGACTTTAATCACTCAATAATATGCGCGCTTCGTGTCCTGAAAAGGCCACATCAGTCTCGAATTTCTTTTCCTAAACCCATGGGCTTCCTTGATAAGCAGGCTAATCAAAGCTCGCCATTTCGAAGCAGTCAGCCTCATCTATTCTATGTGCGTGTGAGTCGGCACACTTTCAGTACGGGCGACTCGTAACGGCAGCACAGGCAGCGTGCTTCCGGCTGGGCCCAGGGGCTTGAAACCACGCTGCAATGTGATGGTGCGCCGCAGAATCAGGATCCGAGGCTGGATCTGGAGAGATTTACGGCCGAAAGAGACTCGCACGGCCGGAGCCCGGTACCGACAGCGGGGAAACTAGGGACGCAACACGTGATGAGGAAGTTTCTAGAAAGTTTCACACGGCGCAGCCACTGCGCGATATTAACACAAACACGTAAATAAACAGTAAATAATAATAAAAGTTAGAAAATAAATAAGTGGACTCTTTCGAAGCAGGTACCTCGGCGACGTTCAAACGGGAGCATTAAGTAGGTCACAGAATATAAGGCTAGAAAAAAACACGTCGTTTAAATCCCCTCACAGTTATTTGCTTAACTTTCTCTTTCTTTTACCTTTTTGTGCTCCTCGCGAAGCCTGCAAACGTTTTGCGGGAGCTCGATTTCACTACACATTTCGGCCATCTTCCCATGTGTCGGTGAAATAAAAGTGTATTACAGCCACGAATTCACCTCAGGGGTTGTGAGTCCTAAAGAAATGTTTATGGATGCAGTCGCAGGTGCTTCCCAGCCCGTCCGGCCTCCTTTTATGCATCAATGAAACAGCGACGGTTATCCAAGGCTTCGGGATAGGGACCATTTCACACTCGCATTTTAGGTCGCGATGGTTTCCTTCCAGAGAAATTTGCAGTGCACGGTTATTCCCCCGGAGCGTCAGCGATGCCTCTCCACCGGCGCCATGTTCCTCCTTCTCCCGGTGCACTCTGGGTAACACGTCTCGCCCAGCTACTGGAGGCACGCGACGCCACGAAGCTCACGTGAAAAGCTGTACGTGTCGCGCGTCGGCCTTTAAAAACATATCTTTTTATTAAGCGTTTTTAAAAACTGCATCGATATGCATCTCTCCATATATTACGTTTTAATCCCATACAGTTCACATGGCATTGTTCATAAATGCGCTGTCACCGAGGATAATTACGCCGAATTCATTATATTCATGCATATATACTACTGCTACTAATTTCTGATTTTCTTTTTTTGGTCGATGATGACAGAACTAACTTTTTCAGCAAGCTGATGCTTTTGGGGTGGTTTTCAATAGCAAAGAACGGCGGTGTAGCTAATTAAAACAGAACCTAATAAGCTAGCACTGAATTTACTGGATTCAAATCATATTGAATAGGCAATTAAAGTTTCTTGTATTCACATGGCGCTTTCTTTTTGCGCGCGTCCAACCTATCTGCCAACCACAACGCTTAAGATGTTGGCATAACATCATTCAAAATACGAGGAGTTTGTGTTTCTTTCTGCCTGGCTAATGTTGGACGGCATCAGCTGCTCATATGTTTCGATCGCTTTAACAGCTGTGGCAGTTACAGGAAAACTGTGGAGTGGCAGATAGCGACAGAGCTGTATTAGAATTATACTATGCAAATCATATTCCATTTGCATGCAAAAGAGGGACAGACAAAAAGAAAGCCATTTTGTCTGTAGAGCTACCATATCCTCTTACCAGGATTATAGAATTATTAACTGAGTCTTGTTGTAGATGATTTTGTCTAGTGTGACATAAAGTTGAAAATGTGCTAAAATCATAAACTTTTTAAATTGTTTGCAGTATAAATGTGCCAAATGTAGACTGGCAATAGCTACGTCTTTGTGTTCTTATCGCATTCACGGTCTGCGACAAATTAGTAAATCCAGGTCGTGTTGATAGGCAGTCGGCGCACAAGTGGAGGAGTTTATCGGCTATATGACTCTGTCAGTGGCCTCTAATGCCGCCCCCGGGGGGGGGCCGCGCAAGACTTTTCTCTCCGACCCAGGTGGAGTTAACTAAAAACCCATTAAAATCGTTAAGATGGACGTGAATTAGAGAAGGCGCAAGAAGCCATCCGTTTATAGGCTGAGCTCTGAGACAAATCAAGACAAAAGAGGAAATCTGCTAAGAGCTGTCTGTTAATAAGGAGGTGATTAGGATTTTTCCTATGGTCCCTTGCACAGCTGTCAGGCAGGAGCCCGATAACACGTTTTAGCAGACAAATTTGAAAGGAATTTTCAGCCAAAAACTTTAAAAGCTTTAGACGGAAACAGACGCATTGCTCAGATTCTTAACCAAGTAAAAAGTGGGTAACTTTTTATAATACGGTTTATTAAGGAAAATGAACAAGAGCCAACTATGTCATCGGACAAAGAGCTACTTTGAACTGGAAGTAGCCTCCAAGTTATGACAGTCATTTTGTAACAAGAATTGCACAGTAACTTTGTGTTTTTTTCCCTGAGACCTTCTCTTTCAGCCAAATGATTTCTCGAGACCCAATGGCACATTTGGATTAAAATAATTTCTGAAAACTGAAATTTTCATATTAATTACAGTACTTTTAAAGAGCTCTTTGAGAAAATTCAGTTTAATGTTCAATTGTCGAATATTGGAAATTGTTGATAACGTTGCCGTATAATATGTTAATTTCCTTTTTTATTTTCATTCACATTTATATTCACATTATATTTTCGGTCTACTCGCATGCAGAGGTCAGTTTTCTACACAGCTCGTGTTTTTAGCGAATATTTCTTGGTATGTGTAGGTATAAAAACAACACTGTATTAAAAAAAACCTTTGGGTGTTATGAAAATTCATAACAGCAGAATGTGTGGTATTGAGTTTAGTTGGGGAAAAGTTCCTGTGTTTTACCTGAAGGAACAACCCACCCCAGAATAGTGTCATCTGTAATGCAAATAAAATACTTTCGCTTTAATCCACAGCATTCACGTATGTCGCGGTGAGGAAACGTGAACGAACTAGAGTTATGTGAATCAGCAGCAGTACGTCTATGAAAGAGCCTACAAACTACAGCTCAAGCCCATTTTCCACGTAGATCTCGGCCAAAAGCTGCAGACTGGGGAGGGCGTTTCTCATGACAGAAACGCCCCACCGACCACCCCTGTGGGCGTGGAAACCCCAGAGGCGTGTCCTAGACGGTCACATGTGTAAACATTGTCACGCTGACTTTAAGCCACGTGTTTGAGGTGAAGCGCGGGTCGTTTGACATCCGCTGGATAGCTAATCCTCTCCCGACGCGCGTGGCGGAAATAGTAGTTTTGGAGTTAAGAATTGTTTAACTTTTTTAATTAACTGTAATTGAAATCGGAGGGTCTTTTTGTTACGGATTATTTATGAATTAGTAGTTTATGCAATTCAGATGACATTGTGTACAATAGTGACGAATAATATATAAAAAAAACTAATAATAATAATCATCTTCAACCTGGTACACAGTGAACCTTGTAGTTTCATTTGCCACACTCACAGCTGAATGTACACACTGTCACTTATTTAATGTCAAATTCAACTACATATCTTAACTACCCCCCCCCCCAAAAAAAAAAAATGGATGGATGGATTTTAACTACATTGATAGTGACATTAATTATATTAATTATATGTGTATAATACCATAATATATGTAACTGTCAAATTGATGCTTTATGGCCTATGTGTAGTTTGTATATTTTCCCGGAACTTTGTGTGTGTGTGTGTGTGTGTGTGTGTGTGTGTGTGTGTGTGTCTACTCAGCATGAGCACACATACAACCTAAAAGTCAATTCATCTCCCACAGCTTTTTGATGCTGGTGATACCGCTGATGGAAAAGAAGCAGAGATTAGCCTGGCTGACACTGACAGGCACTCCCTCCAACAGCACCCCCCAGTCCCCCCCCCCCGCATCAGGACCCCTGACGACCTCCGTTTGGATTGGGCGCACACGGCACCTCGTGCCCCAACACCCATTCATCACAGTACATTTGCCTTCTCACGGCCAGGTACAGCACACCCCGCTTCACCTCCTTGCCGAGTCATTGGACTGTATAAAACATGGGGAAAAAAAGCAAACTCCCCACAGGCAGCCTGCATGCGTGGAAAGCGGCGTGTTGGTCCGTGTTGGTCCGTGTTGGTCCGCCAGGCTGATCTCCAGGACCAGGTGTGACCACGAGGGGTTGGTGGTGCCCGGCTCTGGAGGCCCCGTGAGCCATTGCTCGCTTCTGAGGGGAGAACAAAGGATCCATTGAGGGGCACACAACAGCTGTTGCGTTACTGCCGCCTGCCTGCTCCCCCCGGCCCCCCAACCCCCCCTTAGCCCTATGGCCTGTTTGCCGGGGAAAGTCTGACCCCCCCCCCCACAGTAGGCCTTTAAAGGGATGCAGACAGCCTGCACTTCTGCCTAAGCTGCCCTGGATTTAGCAGGAAAATCTGTGCATTGTACATTAGGGCTGAAGGATTCTCTCAAGCCTTTTATATTACATTCCATTTCTATTCCATATTACATTATTAAACACACATTATAGAACGCGCGATACAGCAATACTACACAGGTTGTCACGCTAATGAACCTTGTGTCAAGGCCGTTTGTGATTTAATACATTTCTAATATACATCGATCTGTAAGTCTCTTTGACGGAAAGAGTCTTCTGAATAAACAAACGCAAAAGTACTATAATATACCATGGCTTTCCTCACCACTTCACCTGCGACAGTCTGAGATGTTGTGGGAAAACTTTGTGATTTAGTAGTTTATGAGCAATTCTTGAATTTGCAGAAAACATGTGTAGCACATATTTTTATATCCTGCAAATTTATTCTGATGTGATAAAAAAATATAATAAAATTATCTTGGAGAAAAATTCTAAAGGTCCTTCTGGGAGTGGCCTAAGTCACTAGCTCATCCTTAGAAAAATAAAAAGGTGCCATATACCATTCGTCTAAGCCTTTGCAATTAAGGTGAAACGCGTGCAATTTAAGAGTAATTGAATGAAACAAAAGCCAGTCGGAGCTGGTGGCGAGCGGCCGGCAGCAGCCTGACAGAGACCGAGATGGAGTCTCTTGCCAAGAAGCCAGTTGCTCGTCGCTATCTGGAGTCGTATATAATGAATTGCCCTTGTCTCAGAAGCATCTGTTAAGGAAATCACGGTGGCTGGCGATGGGAAGGCCGGCCCAGCCACACAGACACGGCAGCACTGACATCTAGTGGATCTGCCGGCTCAGTCACCTCACCTCCAATGCTCCTGACAAGCAGAGGGCACTGTTTTCCAGGCATGAGCGACAGCCATTATAGAGGGGAGACGGAACACACCATTTTGTGTCGTATCTGTGATGGCATCACTGCAGCGCAGCGCTCGCAGAAGACGCAGAGTCAGCAATGGCGCGAGGGGAGGAGCCAGGAAAAAAGTAAAAACCAATTGGGGCTGTGAGGGAAATGCACTTTACAATAAAACACGTTAATAGAGGTGTGGTGTTTAGCTCAGTTCGGGATTAAACACAGAGGAGATTTTCACCCGAGATTGGATTCATCTCGGAGTGTGATATTTTGGGCGTTCTGCTCTTATTGCTGCTGTCGTGCAACAGTCTGTCAGCATACCCGACCAATCGCCACAAAGTGAAAGAAGCTCAGGCCAACATAAAACTTTACAAACTGTCAGAGACAGTAATTTTATTTTAAAATGATACAGAAAAATAGCAGCACTTCATGGGGGGGGAGGGGGGTTAAAAACAAAAAAAAAAAAACACTATAGGTTTTGGTAATGATAACCCAGAGACGCAAGTGGTTCAACATTTCGTTTTCCGCTGGCCATGTTGAAGTCGGACGGAGGTTTCGAGCACATGAATCCTCACACACGCCCCATCCACGGCGCATCCGTGCAAGTTACATCTATAGCAGCTTTCAGAGGGCCCAGTCACCTCTGTCTATTTGGCAGGGGGTCCGATTTGGATGTGGTTCCCATTAAAAAACACACAAACAAAAAAAAAACCCTCATAAAAAATATAAAAACCCGCTTAAAAAAATAATAAAAACAAAATGGCCATTCAAGTCAGCACGCACACCAACAAAAACCAGTCTTGTGCACATTGGTAGCATATGAAGTCAGTTTCTCTATAATGCCTTGCCATCGACACCCTGGAGACGGCCACACCCACAGGCCGGGCGCTCAGCTTTCGGATGGCTCCGGTTTTTCACTGCTGGGGGGTGGAGTCAGGACACCAGAGGGAAGAGGGGACCTCTGACTCCGCTCCACATCCACCAGCTGGTAGGACTGGGCCCTTTCCTGGGAGATAGAAAGAGGACCAGTCAGGGACTGTTCAGCAACGCACCCCAAAAGCAAACCTCTAAACACCCTCTCTAAATGGAGTGTGGTCATAGGGTTGCACAAGCACAATCAGGACACAGACAGATGGTTAACCAATAATGTTTTTTGCAGATAGGAGACATCCGATTGGCTGATCCTGCCTCCTCTACAATATTATTGGTTCTCTCTCAATTTTTTTTGTTCTGCCTACATAACTTTTGTGCAAGTAAAACTCCCTTGAGCCTGTTTTTTTCCTGCAGGTTTATACCACGACTAAACAATTTAAGAATGAAAATTAACTTTACTATTGCACTTCAGCAGTAGTATAGAATAGTGCTACAATACTGATGAGTGTTGGGCACCCCCCACCAAAACACAAGTAGGATCACTAATGCTGTAACATCAGAAGCTCACCAGCAAGTCCAGGTACGGTGCGTGGACCTGGATGCTGTGCATCTCGTCCGCAGAGATGCCCTTAAAGGTCTTGAGCAAAGAGCTGCCTGCCTCCCGGATCGACATGGCAAAGGGCACCATCCATTTCACACACTGCTCCATCTCAGGCCACTGAAAAACTGCGGAGAGCACAAGGCCATTAACCTCCATCACTGAATCCAGCTCACCTTCGGCTCAGCTTCAAGTGTGATGTACATTTTGAGAAAGTAGGATGAGACAGTCCCTTAAGCAACAGGGGTAAAGGACTGTTCCCAGGGACCTAATGGTGACATCACTCTACTGACCTTGGGACCTGAACTGATGACCTAGTGACAGGCAGAATCCTAACCCACAGAGTTAAAACACCACCCTCTGCAACCTCGAATGGTACACCGAGCCAGTTAAAATTACTGGCATGCTGCAGCGTTTTATAGCAGAAACTACAACTGAAATAAGTCACTCCCGGTCAAAGGGATAAAGGCTGCAGGAGACAACGTACCCGAGACTTTCTGCACCAGCTCCAGGGAGGAAAAGTGAAAGAGTGCAGAGGCGGCCAGCATCCCATATGAGAAGCCCAGACACCGGATGTCCAGCATACACACATCCAGGAGCTGGGGAGGCACACAGGAGTCAGTAGAGAAAGACAATTTTAAAAAGTGCTTATGCATCAAATCAAAATCACTTTGTCGCATCACTTGACAAGTGCAGGTGAGTGAGGTGCAGTAGAGTAGTGCAAAAAATACAAATGGAAACTTAAAAAATATGGTATTGTACAGCATTGTAATAATAGTGCTTAAATTAGAACAAATGCAATGAACAGGCATATGAATGCAAGTATGGATATGGTGACAGAAGAGCTGTACTATCTAAGCCAAACAACCTTCATGGCATTCGTGCTATAATAGTTTCCATAAGAGATGTAATAAACCCCAGTAGTGCTGGGTTGGGTCTTCGTTTAATATTAGAACACACACCCCTCATAGAGTAGAGGACCCGGGGCAGCAAAGATGTTCCAGAACCCCCATGCAAACCGTACCTCTGCTATCTGCACGAATGTCGTCTGTGGGAACTGGGGCAACAGGACCTCGCCTGTGTTCTTCAGATAGGCCACTTGCAGGTAAACATTGAGCCAGGATATGGAAGTCAGGGGGCTCAAATTCCATTTCAGCTCCTGCAACAGGAAGTGAGCAAACGAGAGTCAAAAGGAGACCCGACCCAAAACATGCTCAGATCCAAATGAAGATATTTGCTTTTAGGACACGTCACCCCTCGGGATGAGGTACTGCACCACCGCCTTTACGATCCAGCATACCTTCATGATGATCAACTCCATGGTGAGGATCTCCTCTTCTGTGCAGGCCCCATCCGTGACATAGGCAAACTGGTGTAACTTGGGTGGGTAGATTTCCTGAAAACGCAAACAGCTTCGTTACATGCGCATCTTCCGATACGACAGACTACAGACAAATTCCTCTCGGTGGACCTGTATAGAGACAGAACAGAAAGTCAAAGAACACTAGGTGCCCATCTCATACCTCCAGCTTGGCGGCTATGAACAACGCAGAGATTCCGATGAGCTGTAACGTCGTTTTGAGGATGTTCCTCTGAGTCGCCATGAACCGATCAAAAAAGTCCTGGGCTAGATAAAACGTCTCCCTGTGCAGCTTATATACCTCACAAACCTGACGGGCCAGAAAAGAGAATGAGGCCGACATGCCGCAAAAATGAAAATATGACAAGAACACAACATGACAGTGATTTCTGACAGATCATGAACTTGGAAATTACCAACATACTACCGTCACAGAGATGACAATGTGTTGGCCTACCTCCATTAGCCAGTCCAGCAGAATCGCCCTCATTTTGGGCTGCAAGTGTGGATGCCTTTCCATGAATCCACCATCTCGGTGGTAGGAATGGTCCTTCTTGAGCAGATTACTCCAAACATCTTCTTTGTTGGCCCAGCTACTCAATGGAAATGAAAGTCTGTCAGATAGACACGACCACCAAATGCAATATATTGGCACTGATACGATACGGCCATCACGGACCGTAGCGATAAGGATATATCCGAGAGCGAGGATTACCAGAGGGCAGGAAGGGGGGACGAGCGGGTGGGCGTGACGCAGTGGTGCCTGAAGCTGTACTGCTGGTAGTTCAGAAGCGGAGCATCACAGCTGGGGAGTTCAGGGGCTTCGCATTCAGGTGTGGGTATCCGCCCACAAGGACTCGCCGCTGGGTCCGGATAGTCCTACATGGGATGCCAAGTAGACGAGACGAGGGGGGTCACATCACTGGTGGACACACAGAGTTAAAACCAAACACTATACTAACCCCCCCCCCCCAATTCAGATAGATGTACAGCAGAATTCACAAAATACTCATGAAATGTACAACACCTAGAGTCCAGATACTTTTGTGTGTGTCCATCAGAGTAACTACACAGCACAAAATATTGTAACAGGCCACTGTAAGTTGTGGAGGAGCATGAAGACAGTCCAAATAGACTGAACTGAAACCTGGACTGGGTGATCCACTCGGCGAAACATACCTCACATTCATAATGTTTCTTCTTTGTCATTTCAGTAACTTCTTCATCTGGATCTTGCAAATACTATAAATGGAATTGTGAAGACAATGCATGGGAGCCTGGTCTTGAAATGATTCTGGCACATCAGAGGTTATGATATTATATGGTATTAAGGCAGGCACTGGCGCAGCTTACAACAGCAACATCTGCCTTTCTTTTCCTTGATCGTGTCGTGGTTGTCATCGTCTCTTTGGCTACATCCTGGATCGTGGCTGACTTCAGTTCTGTCTTGTTACTAATAATAGAAAAGTTTATCACATTAATGGTCGTCTGTGCAAATCCATACTGCGTTATTGGTAGCGACATCGCTGAAGCGTTCAGAAACTTCTTTTGGCAAACTAATTTATGCCACGACATAATTAAAAGGGTCGGTAACTTACACTTTCCTTGGCATTATATCTTCACGGCGACCTTTAAGATACTGCGTATTCCTGCAAAGACAGAAACAATTTGAGGATCTGATTTTTTTTTAGTATACATTAAAAATAACTTATACACCCAACCCCCCAGCCAACGCACCCCTCACAAAGCGCATAAGCCTCCCATCAAGCTTTCGGCGCGGGGAAGTGCGGCCGGGGCGCAAATTTAAAGGCAGCCGAGCAATGACAAAAAACTATATAATGACTGAGAAATTGCACTAATATAAAGCTCAAAGTCAATATTTTCGGTACGCCAACTTCGGATGGTTTGAAACAAAAGTTGCACGGGTGGTATAACTTGTACATTTCCTTAGCCCCTGCTTTGGCTCAGTGAGAAAATGGCCGAGCAAACTGAATGACTCCTTTCCACAATCGCGAAGAATAACAGTTTCCAGCGACAAAAATACAACATATTTCGGCCGATCATCGTGACATACAGTGTCACTTCATCGCGATCGCTTCCACTGAACCACATGTTAAGCACATAAAACAGTTGAGAAACTACAAGCCAACTTGCTGAAGTTAGCCAAGCCGCTAACTACCCATGATTCATCTCTTACCTTTTTAAGAAATGCACGCCCAAAATGGTAAATTTCTAAAAAGGTATAAATATGCGTGTTAATGAAAGCGACTCCGATCCCTATTCACTCATCATAAACGCTGTAATTTTGTTTCTGGGCCTTTGGATCGTGCCACTAGGTCCAGCCGGAGTCCTGCAGTGCTGCCTGCCTATCCCGTGCTGGCGCGGTGGAGTTTTGCGCCTCGGCTTATAAACTCGTTTCTGCCCGTGTAGTCACAGGGGCGTCAAAGCGGGTCATTTAAAAACCTGGCGCCTACATTTAAACCCGCCAGCTTTGCGGCTCAATATATCCCCAAAGCGGCCGACTTTACCCGGGGCCACCACCGCGAACGCAACGAGGGGATCAATGCCTACCTGATCGATACGGCAGACGCGGTTATTTCCTAATTCTGGCAAGTATAAAATAAATACATAAGATTTGCCGGCAAATTAGGAGGCGTGGCTTAGGAGGCGGGCCGGCGGGCTGTGGGCGTGGTCACGTCCAGGAAGCGCTCGAAAAACCCGCATGGCTCCAAGACGCTGGAAGTAAACAAGCCTGCAGCGATCCTCAAATAACCGGCAGCACTCGGCGCACGGTGCCTTAAATGCTGAAAATAAGTGTTAATTGCTTGGTCGTTTTATCCGCTGCAGTTGTCATCGCAGACAGAGCTCAGACTCGGTTAATGTTTTCGGAAAGTATTTCTGCCGCGCAACAAACACGGAGGGAAAATGACGTGGGCTTAGGAAGCGCCGCGCTTCGTCCCGCACGATCCAATCAGCGCCGCATATGGCTGCCTCTCCAAGACAAAGATCATACTTAGCGATCAAAAATATATTCTTTATTAAAGCCTCCCAATTTGATACTGTCAGCTCTGCCTGTGTTCGCGTTATGTGATCCGTTATTCATTTTTTTTAAAAGTCATGCACGTCCCAACGAAAAATTTGACGTGTGACGTGACGTGACTGGCCTCTTAATATATCCGTTTTTTAATTCTCGCAAAAATAAAAGTTTACATATTTTGCCTGGCTTCGATTCATAGTAGTTTCAATGGTTGGCGTCAGTGTTTTTATTTGCCACTTTAACGTTGTGAGTCTTTAGTGTTTTAAATTCAGCTGTTATTTAGTCGTTCAACCTCGATCAATGCCACGCTTAAATTAAGAAACATTTCAATATGCTACTAGGGGCGCTTTTCCACTTTTGGTATGGTACTTTAGGTACTTTTTATTTTCTAACGACTTCCGGTCGAGTACGAGGACCAGAAGTTCCAGGTTGTTCTCCCATTTTCTATTCTATTGAACCAGTACGTTAATTATTATTATGTCTTTCTGTTGTAATTGTTCGAGCTTGTCCAAGAAGAAAACTCAACTCGGGTTAAGTGAATAGCATGTCAGAACAGATGCCAGACCGACCTTGAGTATATCAGGAGATGATTAAGAACCATGCCCATTCCCTAGGTACAGTGACAAATCATGTATTGTAGTTCTTGACGATTGTATAGGTTTCACCGTAAAGGGATTAAATGTAAAATAGTTGATGAGGGTGTTTTAAGGTAGCGTATAAGACGCCTCTCCATTAATATACTGTTAAATTCCTGGGTGGGGTCTCATACACGTTGCTTATCGAGTTGGCACTAATTGTTCCACAGTTTGTGGTAAGCCTTTGTTTGCGGATTCATTGGAGGCAGTAAGTACTTTGGGGCTAGATTAGGAAAAGTCTAACAAAAGTGTATTCCCTCTTGTTGGTGATGACGGCCCCTGAGATGAATGTAAATAGAAGCCATGCAAATGCAGTTTGTATTCTTCTGAAAGGAGCAGCAGTTGTCAGTATCGAATCACAGTTTTGAGAGGCAGGGGAGCGTTTCCGATGAATCGACACGAAGGACGCACAGTGCTTCACTTTGGCAAATTGGCAGAACTCGTTTCGGTTCAAAGCTCCCGAACCCGAGCTCCTGCGTTTGCTTAAACTAATTTAACTGTGAAACCGACAGCTGGCCGGACATCACAGATGAACGTTTGTGGGTGAGAAGGCGCCTGGGTTCAGGTTCCCCTACACCCCATTACCAAAAAACTATCAAAAGGCTGTTTCTCTAACTTTGATGGGGAAGGGCATACTTTATTACTCTTTACACAGGTGATAGATAGATAGATATTGTTAGGATGCTGTGTCTGTGATTAGAAGATCACCAGTTCAAATCCCAGAGTAGGCAAAGTGATTTCACCGTTGGGCCCTTGAGCCCCACAGATTGGCCCCCACAGACTGTCTAACTGTGCATCTCTTTGGATAAAAGCATCAAAATTAAATAAATATTGAAGGATACTATATATAACATCTAGTTAGCTACTTAATTTAGCTGAGTTTTTACCAGTGGAATTCGGTAGCCATGTTTGTCCAAGGCTGCGTCCTCCCTGCACATGAACTGGCAGCTGAATCCAGATCCAGTTACTCTCAACACCTCCCAAGGTCAGCCGGTGTTCTGACTCACCGTGACTTTCGCGGAGCATCCATAGCCCTTGGGGGTGCATTAACCGCCCCCACCAGCCTCGGCCCCGCTGATGGATGGCGGAGGGTTTGCCGCGGAGGGGTTCCCTGGCAGTCAGCGTCCTCAGGGAGGTGGGGAGTGTGTGTGGGGGGGGGGGGGGGATTGGCTGGCCTCGAGCCGGCGTCCTGCCCTTGTCCGACATAAGCTCGCTCGCCGAGTACAGGCCCCACCTTCCAGGCTCTGTCCAAAGGCCGTTCCAGATGGCCGGCCGCCCTGAAAGCCAGTCAACATGACAGGACTGGCCCAGGCACCGGCGTTACCCTGTCACCCGTCCAGCCTGGAGGCCTGCCTACCCCCTGCCCGGCTCCGCTGGGCAGCTCAGGCCGTCATATGGGCCCTGGAGCCGCCAAATTGTGGATTTTATGTTTTACTTTGCAGAACATGAGCCATTTTTTCCCTTTTAGTTAGTCCTTCTTGAAACATTAAAGAAAATGCGTCTGACTATGCTATGTGCGTTTGTCATCTGGCAGGGTCCTCCACGCCTGAAACGAAAGTCGGAGGTGGCTGTGCTCAGGGACACAGCGTGACGTAACGGCACAGGGAAACGCAGACATAGCCAGGTGGTACTGCTTCAGGGGATTACTGGTAAGCACAGCTGATATTTTAACGCTGCCGCGGCGATGACTGGTTCCTGATTCAGAGCCTGGCTGGGCCTTCGTGTGTCCAAAGGGGAGGAGCCAGCTGACTGGCTCTTAAGGTGACAGACATAAGGAATGATTTGCTCATTTAGACTGTGACACCTGATATTTAAATTACTTTGCCTGTTTTTGTAGGATATGACATTAACAAGATTTAATGCTTGTGCTTGAATTATTTGCCCTTGCGCTATTAAATAAATAAGACAAAACTGAACATATTCAGTTTGTTTTATTTTTACCTTTTTTCAGTTGTATCAAATATATTTATCATTAATACAAAATACAGTTTTAATATTTACAAGTCCCTTACCTACTATTTCACACACACAATCAAGAGTGTGATGAATTTCAGTCTTGATGCTAAAGTACAAAATTAGTTGTCTGTACAGGTAAACATACAGCAATAACATGTTTAACAGACCTGTCAGGAAATAACGTGTTCCGTCAGAGCACACAACAAAGACTGAGCAAACACAATTTTATATAGCAGGTAGGCTTTGGACATCCACAGGTACAGAGTAGCATAAATTTGATAAAGGTTTTAGCATACCACTCGAGATATGTTGTCAAATATTCAACAAAAAAAGGTTAGGATATATGGAAGCTCCTAAATGGCATTTCACAGAGATTTTTTTTCCAAAATAACAAAGTTATTTCAAATGCTCGCTCAAATCAACAGATGCATCATTAAAAGTTTATGCTGTGTAGTAGAGGTACATACGTGTGTCATGTCTGTCATCATCGGTACTCTCGCTGCCAGCATGTCCCTGTTCACGCCTGCACATGCCAGACGTGTAACGGACATGTATGGCTTTATATTTATTAAATCAACAAACTGACCATTTCACTTTCTGTTTCACTGGAGTAGGACAGCCTGCCCCAAGGTTAGCATCTTGGAGGGCTTCGGAAATTCGAAGATTGTGGGAAAAGTCGCAGGCACGGTCGTGGCATGGCCGAAGAAGGCGGAGCTTAATAGTTATAAACGTGACGCGGGGGCTGCTTGAAGTGACCGTAGCGCTTCTCAGAAGCAGAAAAGCGTGTTTTGGCCAGGTTCTTCCTGTGGAGAGCGCCACGAGTCAACTTCCTGCGCTCCGTGTATGCCCTAGCCCTCTGGACATTGAAGAGGTGCACGTCAGGGGTCAGGAGTTTGGCCCAGGGCATCATCCTCCAGGGGACTTGGCGCCTGTCAGGCACCAACCTGCAGGGGGCGAAAGTGAGTCGTCAGATACTTCAGAGGTGCTTCCAGAAAAACCCCTCAGTGTCAGTGCATTAGGCTTGATCCTCTCATATGTTGCCATATATGGGTTATGACATATTTTTCCACCTATGTCTCGTTGCCTGTAAATTTTAAATCCCGCAGCATTTTGCAGTGAAGCCACGTGAGATAGCAAAAACTTTAATAGTGGAAGAGTTAAATATTGGATCCTGTTAGGAGTAACTGCAGAGCTAAAATATTAGTTGTCTGCCGACTTAACAGACGTATTGACCAACCTGTCTTTAAATGTGTCAGCAGGATAAGAAGCCTCAAAGTGCATGAGACAATAAGAAAATAATTGTACAGATCAAATACATGAGCTCCTTATTAATCTTCAATCCAGAGTGGACAAAATTATGGAAATGCTATGTTAATAATCACAGATCAAATGAGAAGTGAGGCCTCTTTTAAAGATTAGAACTTCAGCACTTCTTACAATGCTGCTGTACTCATCCTGAATGGTTTGTAGTGGCATTTTGAAGCATTTTTCAAGAACAAAAGCCTCAAGGTCTCTGATGGATGAGGGTGGAAATCTATGTCACACTCTGCCCCTCTGAACTTCCCATAAAGGTTTAATAATGTTTAGGTCTGGTGATTGTGAGGTCTGAAAGGCACCTGGCTTCGTGCTGGTGATTTCAGGAGCCACTTTACACCAGTACATTAGCCTTGCATATGAGAAATGTCCAAATTGCAGCCCAACCATAAACTCCAGCCTTGTGATGCCCATGACATACTATTTTTGTGGAGGTGGTCACAGAACTGTTGATTCAGCTCTGTGTGAATTTTCATGGTCGTCCTTGTGCTGTGCTAAGCAGCTACCCTCCTAAGCGTTTGCCCGTCCCACCTTTGAGAGCATTTCTCCTTCTCCTTGGTTTCCGTCTGCTCTTGACCCTTCCAACGCCGCATCTTATACACGGACATGCTGGGATGCTCGATCAGCAAGTCCTCGAGGGAGTCCACTTTGGGCAGGGCCAGGCCGTGGCTCTCTGTGTTCACAGCCAATGACAGCAATTACCCCACAGCTCTGCGCTGCGGCAAAACACATCTGCGCAATATTAGATATGCACAGTTGCCAATGTGTCGCATCTGGATTAGTTTTGGATACACACAAACAATTTTACCAGCTGAAATTTTAAAGTTCTCCAGTTTGCTTATTACTAATACATTAATTAATAATAGTATTAAACTGAAGTATTGTAGAAAGAACATCTGCTTTGTGGGATGAGGATATAACTCATTTTTCTATACAGCAGCGTTTCAGCTCACCATGAACGTTGATGATAACCCACTCTCCATCTTCCAGTTCATACACATCTTCGCATACTTTGTCCTCCTCTACAGCAGTATTGGCTTCAATTACATCTGCATTGTCACCCTTACCGAACATCTGGGTTAGTAGTTTTCCAAACATAGTTGTCTCATCCACTGTGAAGTTCACTGAAAGGCAAAAACAGAATAATAAAGTATGCCGCCCCCTTGTGGTTAGTTAACGAAAATGATTTTTGGCCATCAATTACTGCCATTCTGAGACTTATTCTTAAATATCTGCCACGTAACATTGTTTGTCCAAGTTCGGCATACTTTAAGCATTAATAACCTTAAAGATGACAGTACGGGTTACTTAAGCGTAAGCTGCACGGCAGACTAAAAGCAAGATCTGGCATGTTTTCCAACCTCAGACCGTAACAGTCTGTCCTTTACTCCTTGTCCGCGGTCATACCAAAATTAGCATTAACATAACTTTTGGCAGCCCACACCTCATACTGAGGTGGAGTGTCATTTTTCTCCTACCCTTTATTTTTAGCCCTTGCTTTAGATTCTTAGGCTAATGTAGTACATGCTTCACCGAATTTCATCTACAGTAATTATTATTCATTGTTTGTATTAATAAAACACAGAGAAGGTTGTGAGATTGCGCGAGGGGTGTATTATTCTGTTTTTGAATGAGTTTTAATCCGTCATATATTTAATGTTATAGATAGATCAGTTTCATATTTCTATATATAGGCTACCTTACACATATCTTTTATAGTGGGGTGTAGATATTCTCCGAAAAACCATCGTAAAATAGCCGCAAATCTGTAGAGTGTAGAAATAGCCCACAGCAGGCAAAATGCGATGCATCCCAAACTGGCCTAAACTACCGCAATATCAATTTTAAGATACCTTTTCTTGTCTTAAAAGCGGTCTAAACTGTGTCATCTTATCCAGGTTAAGTGAGGAAGATCAGCAGCATTAGGGATTTTTGTAGTGTAAATCTGCATGGGCGCATAGATTCGAGATAGAAAAGCAGGTGTAAGTTTTGTTAAAGCTTGGTACATGGTTTTTATTTGATGAGTCTATATGACGGGAGCAGATTAAAGGTCGGAAGGTGCAGATACAGTGACCCGACTACTGTTACTTCATCATGCGCTTTTCCCAGACGTCTGCACCGCAATAACAGTCTAATGCTTCCCATTCCAGCTGCAACAAAATAGCAAACTGTTTTTTTCTACACCCATTTCCGTTTACTGGGTGTAGAATGTGTGACATGACGCCTAAAGCACACGCAAAATATTAATAACCCTGCACAATACAATGTTACACCAAGTACAGTTTCCGGATCATATGCAGACATTGTATTTTGCTATTTCTGAAACTTCACTTTACCAGAAGTAAACGGAACCGATGTCGTTCACTCGATGTAGTTAATTAACTATTCTAGTGCGCGCTGTATGTAAGTACGAGAAAATGTTTTTAAGAAAAACCATATAAGACCAACTAATTAATTCCGTATATGAATTTTAGTCATTGCCCATTCCCACTGCACGTGTTTTTAATGTATATCATATGCACAAGATCCATAGATCGCCGATGATGCTAAACAATACAAATAAAGCACACGTTTCACAATTCACCCGGTATGCATAGATCCAATATCAATTTACACTCCTGAGTTATAAAACAATTGGTTACCTGCAAAGAAGGAGGCTGACGAGAGCTGTATTTGTATACACGGCAATACGTGGCTACTCTCACAGACTGTTTTTCACTCGATCTTGTTTATGATCACGGTGTTTTCTTCCCCCTGCTGTCGCAAGCAAGATTTGAAAACGTCACAGATCCCCACCTTAAAAGGCGGGGCTCTGGCTGGTGTTTTTAACGGCGATTTTCTGTTTCAGCTCGTTAACTTGAGATCCGCTTTTGTCTATAGATGCATTATAGGCCCACTGCAATTACAACATTATAAATAATACCGTCTTCCCCGCAAATATTTACTATTTGTATAGCTAATACTAATATATACGAACGTTGATAGCATTAAAAATAGCTTAAATATAATACGTGTTTAATGCGTATTAATGTTTTGGACAAAGACAAGTAGGCTATATCTAGAAATGAGGAAAGAGTTTTTTATTTGGGAAAGGGCGAAAAGATAGTATAAGGAATAAGTGAGTGAAACATGCCCATATATTGAAATATAAACCCCACACAGGCAACCAGCCAAGTATTAAAAAAAACAAATGGTCACGAAAAGAAATACATATCAGCACGTGAGATAGCCTACTGGAGTTTATTGTGGATTTTTTTCCCGGACAATCAACGTCTGTGTCTTAATTGTATAAAGGAAAAAAAGTCAGATATCATGATGGTTGACGTTTGGAGATCTTTAATTCCATTCACAGCTCGGCACAGGAAGTGATCTAATGACAGTGTCCCCGGAAGCTTCTCTGGCTCCAATGTGAAAGTAAGACCTAAAATAGCGGCAGAAAATTTGTTTATTTACACATGAAACAGACTTTCGGTAGGCATAGTTTTCGGAACGGCTATTGTTTCTTTAAATTGTGGGTTATTTGCCTGATTAATACAAACTGTAGGCATAGTGTAATATCAAAAAGCAGCCAGTTTGCTTTTTGGAATGGATACCGAAAGTAAATAGTCTACAGTATACAGTAGGTATAGGGTCTAATTATTGTGGCGCCGCGGATTTCTTAAAGTTAACCGGTAGATGATGTTTGATGTTACTCGTGTTGTTACTGATGTGATCTCCACAGTTACAAACCCAAGTAGCCTACATGTGCCACCTTCCTTTAAATCACAACGCCGTGTAAAAATAGTACCATTTTGAGTAAATGTTTTTTTTTTTATTGACATATGAGTGTATATTTTAATTATGAAGTTCGACACTGTCGCTTATTGCTTGAAGGGGCATCTGTGGTGCCAAACTTTGTTAGAGATACAAACTGTAAAATGTCAAACGGGAGTTGACGGAGCGGCATGTTTCCCAAACTTTCCGAGGTTGTATGTCATAGTAGCTGCTTGATGTATTGTATGACACCCCCCATCACCCTGTTTTAGAAATACAGGCTGCTAAGGTTTGTTATTGTTTTTGTTAAAATGGTTGTTTTATTGTCGGTCCCTGACTCAGCTGTACGTCATTTTTAGAAATCTGACGGGATGCCTCCACGTGTCGATGACGTCATGCAGCTGTGCTGCAAGCTTTCGGACAATCAGCGCATAAAAGCAGCGGTGAAGCATTCTGGAAAAGGGGCTATGATGGCTGGGGCTATTGCATTTGCAGGAGGGCTGGTGGGGGGCCCTCCGGGAATAGCGGTTGGTGAGTTTACCTGCTTTTCTTCATTCAGACAGTAGGTGGTGTGGTATGACTGCTTTTATTTCAAAAAATGGTTCCAAGCAAAAATCGGTATGATGGGCAGGTAGGCTATTACGTCAGACGTCGTACAGAAAAGATCTGAGGTCAGTTTTGGAGCCAGTTAACGTGTAAATAAATAAATGAAGCACTTTTAGTGTATAATGTAATGTAGCAGTACCATATGCGTTTACATTTAAAGTGTAGTTTTCTTTTTTATGTACCAGATGCTTTTGTCCAAAGTGACATACAAGCGGGGCAGAAAATACACCACAAGGGTACAGTTATCAAGGAGTCAAATAGGTATGAGTGCAGCTAGGCTGAGCTTCCAATGAGGGAGAAGTGCAAGTTAGTGTTGGGACAAAAGCTTTATAGTACATTCCAAAACATGGTAAAAACCTGACAGGAGAGCGGTTCAAATGAAAAGTACCATTAGCACTTGTGTGCTCCTGGGTAAAGTGCAAAAACACAAGAACATCCACCAAGGGATGGTAGGTGAAGGCAGGGCAGGTCAGTGATTGAAGGAGTTAGCTGAGATGTTCCCAGAAAAGACAGTAACATACACTGACTGGCCAAAAAAGGTTCCGCTTGAAGTTAAATAAGTCTGGCGGACAGTGTCTGCCTGTGTAACACACAGTCACTACGATGTGTAATGCAGCAGCAGACATTCAGATGTCCAGCTCAGAAGATTTTTTTTCTTGACAAGGAACTAATAGTAAAAATAATAAACATTCCAGTAGTACTATCCATATTTAACAATGGATACTGCAAACATTTACATCTGTGTAGTAAACAGTAGAATGATAATATTCTTACAATTATCTGTTTAAAATAGTATTAGAAATTACTGGAAAACATCATGGCCCGAGGTAAGCCAAAAATCGCAGGGACAGCTAACTTGGAAACCAAACCGCTTAATCACATAGAGGATAAATTAATAACTGCAGTGTCCCAGTGCCCCGAATTATTTAACGTCATCTTAAAATCATAAAGAGACTTAATTCAGAAAAAAATGCACTGCTTTAGTGTCGCGTATTGAAAGTACAGTTTTGCGAACCCATCATGAACTTTTTTAACCTTTGAACGTCTTTTCAACCCAACAGCAAGAGTGCCTTTTTTGGTGTAAACCAAAATTGCAACTCATTTTCGCGGCGTGGCAAAAATCGGGCGGCACTTACCGTCTGCTGCGGCGTTGTGCCACTGGAGGGCGGTGCCGCTCTCCCCAGTGACATAGAACTTTGCAAAAATGTTGCTGCTTGCTGTGTGGACGACGCCTAAGCTGAATACTTAAGAACCAATGGTTGGATCATTATTGTAGGGATTAATAGGTTTAATTAGGCAAATAATCCTTTAACTTTATTCAAGTGTATTGCTTCTTATTTCTAAACAGTCATGTCTGAAGACATATCTCATGGTTTCCGAAAAGATGTCACTGCATTTCAGAAGGGGCATGCAACAGGCAAAGAGAACACCTAAGGAGATTGCTGAAAGTATTGGAATTTGGTTAAGAACTGGCCAGTGCATTAGTGAAAGTCTTAGGGTTGTGCTGGAGAAGACTTTATGGAGTGTTATAAACACAAGATTTCTGTGAAAAATTAATGCAGATCTGGAGGAAAATGAATGTTGATGTTGCATAAGCTCATGGTAACAATATGACAAATGTGCACCGTAATTAAAGCTGAAGGCGATCCAACGAAATATTAAAGTATAACTTTTTACTTTGGCCAGGCGGTACGTATATTTTGTCTTCATCTCAAAGTCCCCGAGGCTAGTTGACAGTATGCATTTAAGGATGGTGTTGACAGGACTCTTGGTTGAGCCCGCAGTTCTTGCAGCTTCCCCTTTCTGAACGTTGGCACGGCTTTCCCTCTTCCTGTACTCCATGGCAGGCGGTGCGGTGGGCGGGTCGCTGGGATACTGGAAGACCAGAGGACAGTTCAAGCCACTTCCCCAGATCATCATGGAGCTGCCCATGCAGGAGCAGCAGAAGCTGTATGCAGACATCATGGCCGTCCTGGGCTCGCTCGACTGGACGGACGCGGCGCAGCTGACAGCGCTCGTCATGGGCAACGCCACGCTCCAGCAGCAGGTGACGGCCGCCCTGCTCGGCTACGTGACCCAGACTCTCCGGGCAGAGGTGCAGTACGAGGACTGACCTCGCTGGATGTGGCTCCTCTTTGGTTTCTCTTCTGGGAAGATGTTCACTCTGTGTATAAAGGCAAAACCAATGCAAGCTCCATCACATGAAATGTTGATCAAGGAAATAACACTTAATGATAGTATGAATTCTTGGCCGTCTTCTGCATGTATCACTCCATACTCCTACTTTGATTTGACACTCCAGCACAGCACATGCAGGCCAGCAGCAATATGACTGCAGCCTGTGGCTAATTATGGACATACAACCCCAACTGGCCAGTTTTCCTCAATGAAACTCAACTGGAATTGACAATCGTAGTTTATTGTAAGAATAACAATTATTGTAAACAACTTGGTTAGATGGCAAGTTCTCAAAACTCTAGTTGAAAATCCGCATATAAGGAACAATCAAGTAATCTTCTTACCTGTGCTGTTTGAATTAGCAGTGGTGGTAAAATATGAAGGTGTATATGACATCATATGAAGTGTATATGGCCTCAAGGGAGGGGAGCATCTTGTTTAGCTCATTGATCTCATGAACAGTTTCTTGCAAAATGGCTTTTTTGTACAAGTCTGGTGATCAGCAGATTTGGGTAGGGGGTCCAATGAGCAGACCGTATAGTCGATAACCAAACCCTGATGGAACAAGGGCCATAGTAAAAAAAATAATAAATAATTCAAATACGCACATGTCAGACAAGTTTTGGCCAAGGGGATGTCAGAGGTTTTTGTCCATAAGAGAAAAGAAACTGAATAGCTGGTTGTGCCTTTGGACAGTTTATTGCTTTGTCAGTGCCTAATTTAACATTTACAGTCATTGTATACAGTGGGGACATTATTATACTGAGGTAAATAAATCATGTGTCTGCAATAAAATATGGTTTTTGAAAACTATTAATTCACATCATTAATCTGTGTCTTGGTCCATGTGGTCTGGGAACTGAGAATCAGAGTACAAAAGATTATTTTATACTGCTAGGTCGTAAGTGGAAATGTGTTTTAATACGAGAGGGGGATATAGGGCTTTGGAAGGAACAAACAGGGACGCTTAGGTTTGCTCAGAAATATTTTATTGAAAGTGATACAAAGTTATGAAATATAAAGTGAGACAAAATCATGAAATATAATAAGCAATAGTAAGTAGTCCCGATTAATGTTGTAAAAAAATCGATTCTCAGATACTAATCGATACTAAAATTTTGTATCGAGTTCGATATCAATTAGCGCTGGTATCGATACTTAAATGCCAGTTTTGCATCTGCAAGTTCACGGAAATCACCGGCAGACTACAACAATTTTCAACAGGCATTGCAGCAGGCAACCCCTCCCCCGACAACGGCTACCTGAAGGACCCATTGTTTTACGTGAGTGACACACTTTAAACATGGCAGTGGGCGATAGCAGCTCCAGCTTTCGTTTTGCAGCACCAATCTTGATAGAGAATGTAAAAAGCAGGAGCACTGTCTGGAAATAGTTTGCATATGAACCAGATGAACAAGGAAAACTAAAAGATGTGGACAAGCCCATTTGCAAGAAGTGCTTCAAAGTTGTCGCAACCAAAACTAGCAGCAGGACAAATTTATTAGGTTTATATTTTCATTGTATTGTTTGTCTTTTTTTTTTGGTGGTGTTCTGACTTTTAAAAAAAAAAAAAGTTCCTGTGTTTGTTTTTTCTCCCCCTGTAGTATTGAAAATAGTATCGAGTATCAAGCACCATCCTTAGTATCGGTATCGAATTTGAAATTTCAGTATCGTGACTATAGCCTAGTCCCGATAATGATTACAAAATTATGGAACATAATAAGGAAAAATTATGAAATGCCACAAACATTGATAAGTAGTCCAAATTAGGAATACAAATTAGGAAACATCACAAGTAGGGATGTAACAATAACCGTAATATCACTATAAAAAATACCTCGACACCGTTGGCGGACTGTTACGATATCAACCACGATATCGCTCGCATATTTCGTCTCAAAAAATACATACTACAGTTAATGAATGCTTTGTGCTCTACTGGCCGTGTGTAACCAACATGAAAATGTCATTAAATCCATTACGAAACAACTATTACTACAATAATTTATAAATTAGTCAAAAAGAAACAAAAACACAAAAACCTTTGATTTTCTTACAATGTGTGCATTTAGGATATGATGGACTGAATTGAACTGTATATTAACCCTTGGACATTGTTATGCCTGAATATATCTGTGCACAGTCAAAAATTAGCAAAACTGAACTAGGATATACCTAGATTTAGACTTAGGATTAACTAGGAATAACTGATTTAACCACTGGACTCAGAACCCAAAGCAAAAAATATTTAAATCCATACTTTATAAAGAGGTAGATTTACTTTTTTCATTTAAATGTAAATGTATGTGAATGTATTCACATTTCTTCATGTTCTACAATCAATATTTACATGAAAAAAAAGAGACCCTTGGCCCAATCCATCAGCCGGCGATTGAGGACGGGAGTTCCTCCCTTCCACAACTTTTGTACCCATACAACACCACGCCTCACCCAACTGTTGGAGAGTCCCCTCAGGCAAGAGCTAAGGGTCCCAGTGGATTTTCTGCTTGGTTGTGTCCAGGAACCAGTTAAGGGTACTGTCCATGACTGGATCCAGGAACATCAGACCCAGTTGCAGATTGCCTTTGAAGGTGCCCTAGACTGATTGTGATTAGCAGCAGAGCGCCGAAAGAAAAAGCATGATCGGCATGTCCGAGATGCTCCTTTGAAGGAAGGCCAGTTAGTGAGGTTGCGGGATTTTAGTGTAAGAGGGCGCCATAAGATCCAGGATTGGTGGGGGTCGGTGCTGTACAGAGTATTACGAGCACCAAGAGATAGTTAAAAAGGTGCATCGTTCACTACTGAAAGCAGTAGTTGGCGATAGGGCTCCATGTTGTGTTCTGAGGTCCTCTGCTTCTTTGGTGGATGAGTCTCAATCAGAAAGTGTGTTGGAAGGCAGTGGGGACCTGTGGATTCTACAGTATGAGGACCCTCGGAGGCTTGATACTCAAGGACTGTGGTAACAGACTATTCCATCTTCGCAGCCCTCATAATCTGAATTGACCTTTATGGGGTTAGGTCCAGTGGTGGGCCCTGCAATGTTAGTAAGGGAGGTACCATGATTTCTTCCATCTGTCACTCATCCTGGCCCTAGTGAAATGATTATGCGACTGACCTTGCAGTTAACGGCCAGTCACCATTCCAATGTCCACCATCTTCCACGGTCTGTACAAGGTATAGCCCTTGTGTTTGCGAATTCATCTGGTTTTGGGCCTATTCTATTAGAACTAGTTTTGAATGGATTCATCATCGGGGCGACAATGCATTTGGAGGAGGATAGAATGTAGCATGTGGAGATGCTTTGATTTGTGGGGGATGTGTTACGTGCTCAGTCTGTTAATCAATTATCTACTTGAGGGCACCTTATATAAGGCTTTGGTGCCCAGCGTGGGCATTCCCTGACTGCCCACTTCCGGGTCACCCCATTTCTTTCGACTCATTGCCAGCGGTGTAAGTAGGGCTGCATGATTTATCGATTTCAAATCGAAATCGCGATTTGAAACAACGCGATTAGCAAGTCGCAAAAATCGCGATTTAGGATATACATTATACAGCAGGTCGGACCCATGGTTTAAAACTGCAGTGAGAATAGTTTTACAAATTCATGCCGTGCTCCCTGTGTGACAGTCATTCTCACCAATCACAAGCGCCATGCTTCTCGCGTGCCAGTCATGCTCACCAATCAGAAGTGGCTCAAGAAGGCCTATAGGCCCACAAACAGCAAACACGTGAAACCCAAGGAAAATGTTACATTCGCGGTGCGGAAAAATACTGATTCCGCTACTGAGCTGTAAGTGAATTGCCTTCCTATTTCATGGTCCGAGATTGTTTCAGAAAGGTCCTATCATCAATAGAACCGGCGAGCTGAACACCAGCTGCAATATACTTCAGCGTATCGTACCTTTGGTTTTTGTTAATAGGCAATAGCATTAGTATATTGCTAACCCATCAAAACAACAATGAGACAGTCAGTAATTCTCACAGCAGCGGAGTCGTTGACCACCAAAAAAGCCGTAAAACCCACAATACAGTCGTGTTTATGTAATATATGTTTTTGTGCTTATTAAATTTAAGTGTTTCCAAAGATTAATCCCACAACCTACAAAAAGAGACACATATAATGTTTGTCATTCGTTTTGTATTTGTCCGAGTAACAAAGCAATGGAATGATAAGCTGCTTCAGTTGAAAACCGCATTTTACTTCTCATTTAAAATAAAACGCAGGTTTGGCAACTTCGGTCAGCTGCATAGAGTGAGATTTTGTTCTCCGTTCTGCACACACATTTACATGTATGTAAGTTTTATTACCTTGTAAATAGTCTGTAGGGTTTGCAAACTGCTGTAACGTTTTCTGATGCAGCTAATTTTAAGTTCAGAATGGAATATAGATTTGCTGTAAGATTTCTTGCGTGAGAGTCTGAGTTTGCAACCATGAACACATACATTTTTTGTTTCACCTGAATTGATTTGTATAGAAAATAGGCCTAACCGTATACAGTTGTTAAAAAGCGGAAACTTCGACCAACATGAAATCACCAATAAACGATTTCTATTTATTCATCACTCCCTACCACTTTCATACACGGCCAAACTGCTGCTGCTGCTGCAGGGAGGTCAAACACTACCCACTCACCCTCCCCTCACAGACGCAGACACAGGCCAAACTGCTGCTGCTAAGCGTTTATTGGAGGATAGCGTCAGACCCTCCTCCTCCTCTCATTCTTAGCTCCAACTTTCTCATTTTCACAGTTTCTTTCAGACTTGCGCAACACAGGGATAAGCTCCAACATCGCTCTCACAATCTCCGAGTCCTTTGCAGAATCTCCAAAGTCCTTATCCGCAACATTTACACGCTCTGGACCGACCGGGACCTTCCCACAGTACCGCACCACAGGCAGACCCAGCGTATGCTCACACTCCATCAGGTAACCAACCCGCTCAGCTCCGTGCTCAGCACCGTCAGCCATCACCCTCATAGCATGGGGCTATTCCAACAAATCACACTCATCAGCACACAATTCAATATTAATAATAATAAAATAATGTTAAAATAATAATAAAAATAAAAAATTAATTTAAAATAATAAAAATAAAAAATAATTTTAAAATAATAAAAATAAAAAATTATTTTAAAATAATAAAAATAAAAAATAATTTTAAAATAATAAAAATAAATAAATAGATAAATGATAATAATAATAATAATAAATAATTAAATAATAAAACCCCCTCTCCTAACATATGGAAATTATTAACAACGTCACTAGTCGTCGCGTACCGAATTTGAAATTTCAGTATCGTGTACACTAATATTTCGTTGGATCGCCTTCAGCTTGCACATTTGTCGTATTGTTACACCATGAGCTTATGTAATATCTCTACATTAATTTTCCTCCAGATTTGCATTAATTTTTCGCAGAGATCTTGTGTTTAACACACATAAAGTCTTCTCCAGCACAACCCTAAGATTTGCATTACACAACATACTGACTTTTCTATATGACGAGTGACAATAGCCTACCTGCCCAACATACCGATTCTTGATTGGAACCAGTTTTTGAAATGACAACGTTCATACCACACCTCTTACTGTCTGAAGGAAGAAAAGCAGGTAAGTTGTTACTCACCAATCAATATTCCAGGAGGGTCCAGCACCACTGCTCCTAAAAATGCAGAACCTCCCAGACATCATAGCCGCTTTCCAGGAATTCTGCACTGCTGTCTTTATGCTCCAATTGGCAGAAAGCTTGCAGGACAGCTGCATGATGTGACTGACATGTGGAGGCATCCTGTCAGATTAAAAAAAATGATGGACAATAAAACCATTTCAACAACAATAACAAACCTTATGTGGCGATATGATAAAGAAGGCTGTCTGTTTCCTATTCCTTAATTACCATTCATCCTTTTCACCACCCTATAAGGAGAAGCCAGCCTGGGAATTTCACCCAAGGGAATAACTAATCCTTCACGAACACAATAAGGCAACCAGGTTTGATATATGCCCAGGCAGGAGATGTGATACCACTTATCGTGTCATATTGGAAAAGAGACTGTCCTACTATGAAGCAGTGTGCACGCTGCCTTCAATCAGAGTTACTGCATCGCACCACTATTAAAAGCAAACAACATTGTGTGGGCCCCTGGGCAAAACGTTCGCGAGACCCCCCCCCCCACAACCACCACAATTCAAGGGCCCTTGGCAGCCAAACGCCCTCCCTCCATGTTTCCATCAGAGGCCCTATAGGGTCAGGGGCCCTTGTA